AAAAAAAAAAAAAAAAAAAAAAAAGTGAGGACCTTGCTCCCCTTCCCATATCTGCCTCATCTCCCATATCTTTCAATCCTACAACTTATGAAAGAAAGCACCAGTCTCATAGAACAAGCTTTTCTGAGACTTGGGTTTGATTTAAGCAGAAAAAAAAACCCTTGTAAGAAAACGTATTCAGTACTTGGCCTCAATTATGAGCAAGAAGAAGAATTCAGCTTTGCTGGTTTTGGTAAAAAAAGCAATTCCTTAGCACTGCCCCAATCATTGTTGAAATATTGTGGACTCTAGCTGCTGTGAGTTTGAGCTGCTGGAGGAGGCAGATGTGCACCTGCAACAAGGCTGAGCTCTGCTGCAGTGTGACAGTGCGAGCCAGGATCCGATCCAGGCTCCTTGGAAATCAATGGAAATTCTATCCTTGACTTCAGTAGGCTTTGGACTCGGTTCCTGCTGAGGCAAAGTGGCAATAAGGCTCTAAGGGAGTGGAGAAGTTTTCTGGCTTAAAAAATCAGCATTTTCTGTTGAAGGGCTCTTTATGCAAGGGCTCTTGGCTTCAGGTGTGAAAGAGTTTTGCACATGCTTTGCTCAGATCTCCTCTCCTAGTGCAGTAGGTTTCTCTTTTGTGACCATTAATGGACATCCCAGCTGGACAGTGGAACTGCCCAGATGATTCTCATGTGAAACTTAAAATCATGATGAGTTTGCTCAAAACATGATCTGTCTTCGCTCAGAAGCTCCCTAAGCTTTCTGAACCTTTCAGCAGAGCTGGATGTACTCAAAGCCATAATGAAACACAAAACCAAGTCAGAGTTCATGTAATCTGGGAGTTCCTTGCACATATTTGTTCATGGTTGCATCTCAGAGACTGTCTATATTTTTTCTTTGATCTTAAGCTCTTCCGAAAGACTTCAGAGTAGAAGATGTGCTGAGGTCTGAGCCAGAAAAGAGTTTTTCCAACAGCCACTGCAACCCGAGTCCCCCATAAACATCTGGGACTCAGCAGGAATTATACCCAGGTCCTTCAGATTGCAGCATTGTGGTGACCTTCTAGACTGATTAAAGAAATGACATTGATTGACTTTGAAGAGAGCCACATCCACCCTTCTTCTGCCAAAAAGGCAGTGGCTGCAACACGAAGCCTCAAGAATGGGGCATTGCTCCTCCAAGTACATGGAAGACATCCAAGGGTAACTGGATAGTGCAGATAATGGGATAGGGTTTCTTCCCTCCTCTCCCTCAAATACCATATAGCTAAATTTTAGCTACTCAGACCTTGGGAGAATTTTTTTTCTGATAGCAGTTTAAAATATGAAACAGCTAAGGAAATGAGCTCTTTTTATAGGTTGCATAGGATGTTCAGTGGTTGAGAATGTTAAAAGGACTGGTAATTTTGACCCTGGAAGGAACTTCAGAGGTGATGAGGGAGGCTACACTGTGGCACGGTCTTCTGCTGTTGTGAGGACCAGCATGAGCAGACGGTACTAACAGGGAAAAGAACGTTATTTCTCTGGCACACCCACTCTCAGTGACTTTACACTTTGGGGCATGTAGCTTGTGAGATGCTAAAAAGGCCTGATTTTCAGAAGATACTTAATATTTTGTAATATCTGGCCTCTTTAAAGCACCTTGAGTTGGAACTGAGAAACTGGCATCCACAATTGCTACTTTGGAAAATCTAGGCCACTGAACCTAATATGAACTATCAGAAACCAGAGACGAGGAAGCATTTATGTTAGAGAATGCTTAGTGGCTTGAAAACTACAAATCAAAATAATTCATCCTTTTATGTGTAAATCTCTTTCTCTTTGATACACGAATTGAAAAGCTGTCTAGTTTCCTTGTAGTTTCCATAAGTAAGCAGCATGCTACTGTATCCCCTCGAACACTATTTAGTCTTTCTTTAAAGTGCAGACCTTTTAAGGTCACACAAGCTCACCTGCATGCTAAAACTCAACCAACTGAACCTTACACCTAAACCAGTAAACAAGGAGGTCCTGTGTACTATAGTTCCCTCCTGGCAAGGGTGCAATGCGACAAATGGTGAAGCACCAAAAGATCAAAGTGCTTTTTCAGCGATAACAATAAAATCGGAGCCAGAAAGTCACAAAGTCCTGGTGCTGCTGCCTGGTGTTTGAAAGCTGATTTTTGCATGTATGACACTGCTAGCCCATTGAGAAGGGACATGGGCAGGAACTACAACTGGGAATAATAGCAAATTTGGATCATGTGCAGCGTATTTCTGAGCCAGTAAAAAGAATGAAGAGTCACTGTAGGACACCCATGTGGAAGGGATTACTGTAGCTCACTGAACTCACAGTTAGGGTATTGAAAAGCAGCTTGAGTACAGACGTGTTTTGTACCTATTCTAGAGTCATTTACCTCTGTCTGAGCGGACAACTTGAGCCAAGTCCTGTTGAAGTCAATAGCTGTCCTGCCTTTCGGAAGGATTATGCCCCTAAATAGCTATTTTCGGAAGTGTACTTTGCCTGGTGATAACACAAAGCAGAGGATGGATGATTAACACCAATTAGGATTATTTATGAGAATGCAGAAAACAATAGGTCTACAAATCATTCTCTTATCAATTGGAGTTCCTCCTGCATAATTTAGTCATCGCTGGGCAAACTGTGTTTCATTGTTCTTTAAGCAGAGATGTTAGCTCATGTTAGCTAAAGTTTGCGGAAATGTTGATGGTTCAATATGACCTAATAAAACAGCAGACTTCTGGTGGTTTTCAGCATTTCTTTTTTTTATTCATGTATCCTCTACAGTTTTCCCTGGATATATTTAATGAATTGAAGCTGACTCACAGTAGAGTTGTTCTTCGTGGGTTACGCTTCGACTGAGTTTACACTAGTGCTTTGATTTGGAATGATAGGGCGGTTTTTCAGCACTGCCCTGATCATCTCCATTTATCATGTGCTAGTGAAGTTGCAGAGCAGTTTTGGTGCACTCAGATTCCTTTAAGAGAAGACTAAATGGGAAACTCTCCCCAAAAGCACTCCAGTTCTTGGTGGGGACATTCAGCTCTCCTCCCGTGGGTAAGTCACCCCACTGCTAGGTCCTGCAGCAAATACAGACACTAACTATCAGCAGAAGCCTCTCAAACCGTGCAGAACTGCCCTACGAGACAGACGTGGATCTTGCCCTGTAGAAAGGATCAAGGGCTGTATGTGCTGCCATTTTTGCTGGTATTTTTGGAGGAGCAGCTGCTGTGACTTTCTGCTGCTCCTCTTTTCTTCCACTAAGACTTCTCCTGGTTCTCTTTTCTGTTTATTAACTCCCTCGTCTTCTCTAGTTGTCCTGCTTTGCCGCTCTCCTTGTTTCTTCCACTTGTATCACCTTTGTGATCCCTTTTCCAATTTCCAACCTTAGTCTCCCAGAAGATCTGGAGTGGTGGATCCAGAGGACCCAGAGGAAATCACACTGTAAATCTGTACCATGAGGAGACCAAAAGTTTCTTCAGCAGCAAGAGATAACCCAGGACTGCTGACAGGTATGGGGACCAGGGAGCGATGCCACATACATCAAGAAGGCACCATTCTTGAAGACAGAGACTTTGGGGCAGCATGGCAGTCCTGTGTGGAAAGCTTAAGGAGATCTGCAGGTGGGAACGCACCACCAAGCCAGCCGCTTGCTTGGTTTAGTCCATGGACCTCTGGGGTCTGCACACCCGAGGCTGAAAACTTTCAACTGACCCAAAACTTCCTCTCTGACTGGACTTTTGATATGATAGCAATGGCACCAAAAGTTCAATATATCTGCTTTGCCATAACTTTTTCAACCTGCTAATTATCCCAGGACTATTTGCAGTTAAAATTGCTCTGACTTAATTACATGAGACTTAATTTCAGTTGCTTGGTCAGCTTTAAAAACATATATTCAAGTGTGAACCACAAGCACAGCGTTTTGGAAGCCTCTTTGTCTTCTCACTTTATGTTGGTGTAAGCAAAGAAGCTGTGCTATGGTTCTCCATTTTGTTACACATGTCCAAGTCCATCTCAGTTCTGGATAGACTGTTTCCAGGCTCATCAATTTAAGGGAGGCACAAACTACTCCTTATAGCATGGCTTATGTTTTTTGCAACAGTGTAAACATTGAATGTTTGTCTTATGCTTACACTTTTTTTTTATGTAAATAAAGTTTATTGAGGCCAGAAATGGAAATACATTGATTTTACAGAGATTAATACGTGTACTGACATTTTATGTAGAAGCATACATTTGAATGATTCTTGCAATGTTTAATTGCAACAACAACAACAAGAAATGAGAAAGGAGAACAAAAGGATTGGCATGGGGAAAGAAGAGAGATGGTAAAGGACCGAGAAGGGAAATGGTGGAGTAGAAGGATAATACTGGTTATCAGAGCATTATTTGAGAATTCCCATGATTAGAGTTTATTATCTCTCTGACCTCTCCATTTTGTTATAATCTGCAGCTCAAGTGATCAATAATAAATGGCTTCCAAATTTCAGTGCATTTTCTCCCTTGCACAAGAAGCTTTTGCCTCCTTTTTCCCACACCGTAAGAGCTTGTCGGTGTTAAAGCATGAAGACTTTGTGCTTGTTCTTCTGGTCCATGAGTGCTGTTATTTAGCTAGCAAGAGCCCCATAGTGATTCACAGGGTAACAGTTCTGCGTATTGCACTGGGATGAGCATGGATGCATTGCAGCTGCTATGCAAACACAGGTGTATATCCTGAGTAGACTTCCCAGTTCCACCTGAGCACATGAAAGGAAGTCCTCGTGAGAGTCAACAGCAGAGCTTTTTAAACACCTCCAACCAGCTAATGGGTTTTCCTTAATACATTGGCAGTGTGCCCCTTCCTTCCCCTGCAGGAATACTAGGCTGGCTCTGCAGCTGGGCTTTTCTTTTGGTGTTACAGCATGCAGAAGAAATAAAGTGCAAGAAGACTCTAATAGCTGATGCCACTTTTTCTTCTGCAACCTGGAACGGCATTGTCTCCCAAGAGGTGAGTGTAGTGAGCAACGTACTGCTTTCAAGGATGGTCTGGTGCACTCGGTGTAGCTGTGCTGGAGGTGGCTTTTTGTAGGGGCTGGCTGTTGTTTCTGGGAGCTCACTGTTGTGTGCTTAAGGCCTGAGGGTTCAGCTTCTCCTGTGTGAGAGATGGGAGGAAATGACCTTCACCCAGCTGAACATGAAACAACAGGAAACCTTTTCTTCGAAGCTCCTGGCGTTTCCCGCCCCCCCCAGGATCCGGCACTCAGGGACCATTTTGAAAGACTGTGGGGTTTTCTATCAGTGTTTAGTGGTTGCATGTATATTACCAAAGAATGTTTATGATTCATGGCAAAATGGTGTGCGTTGATTTAGGTGATGGGCTAGTCTTTCTGTAATGGGTTTGAGAATTCCCCATCAGGCTGTACCTAGTTTTATCAAGCAGGAAGCTGGCAGGCTGTGTTTTAATCAACTGATAGCATCACTTGGCAATTGGCATCTAGCTAGTGAACTGAGTGTTTCTCAAAGCCCAGCTTGCTAAGTCACAAACAGCCGCATCCACCCACAGATCTTTTGGGTCTCCCTCCTATTTATTCTGTGTAGGTTGTTTTCCCAAATAAAACTTCTAGCTTAGTGCAGGATGATGCAGCACATTCAGGCACTTTACTGTGTTTTGTTTTTTTTCCCCTGCACCTTTGTGGGGAATGGAAAGAGGCAGAAGACATTTTCCCTCTAGGAACCTATGTTTTAAAAAAAGTACTTCTGGATCGAGCCCAAACTCTTAGAACCATGTAAATCCAAAGATTTGATGTTACACAAGCTTTCTGAGAACTTGCGTTTCATAAGCACAATAAATCTATACTGCAGCATCACACACAAGGGCACAAAGGCACAGCCTTTACTCCCTCTGGGTCCGGCTGCTGCATGACCCTTTATTTGACTTTATCATCTGAGAAGTATCCTGTATTCCAGCCTGTACCAACAGACAGAGAGAACAGCTTTGTCCTCTGACAAAACGTGTTGCTCTCTTTATTACTTCTGGGAAGGATCAGCTTTTGGTGAACATCTTCACAGTGCAACTTCTGGAAGAAAACCAGAGGCCCTGGGGATTTGCCTCTCGTTTTCTTCATCTGCTTGTGCCTGGGGAAGCTGGGAGAGGCAGAGCGTTATCCACCCTCAGTGACCTCAAGGGTGGCATGAGAACGTGCTCCTAGTGGTCTGAAAAAACATGGGGAGAAGGTTTTAAATGGGTTTAGCTCTTTGTTTAAAGAACTGACTGTTTGGTTAGGCTTTTGCTGAGTTTAAAAATAGGTTGATGCACCGTATTTCTTTCACGTGTATGCTGTGAGAAAAGAAAGGGCACCAGTTCCCACTGCTTGGGGGTTTCACATCTCACCATCTCTTGATCTGTGCTTGATTCAGATGGGTGGGTTACTAAACACAGCCTTGAGATCCTTTTCTGCACGGATGAGTCTCCAGTGCTGGAGAGAGCAGGTCAGGTCCTGAATTTTCGGGGTGGTGACTCCACTTTGTAATGTTGCTTGCTTAAAATTTATCAAACAATTGAGGTCTTTGGAGAGGAATGGTGGTTGTAAGGATGTAAAATAGTAATGATTACAAAAAATAATAAAAAGACAAGTGAAGTATAAGGATCAGAGCAGACAAGTGAAGTATAAGGATCAGAGCAAATGATTCTTGAGAAAATTGGACTCTTGAAGCTGTGTTCTAAACCTGTGTGAGGCTGAAGCTGTGGTGAGTAAGAGCTGGATGGCACAGAGGAGCTGAAGATGTCTTCAAGATTAGTAGATGTCCCCTATAACGCAGAGGAACATCTTAACATCCACTTCTTGGTATTCTGATATTCACCCTTATGGGAAAATCAGAGAAACTGGAAAAGATCTGTGTTCACTTTCACATTCCACTAAACACTTCCCCTGAAAATGCCATCCATTGCAAGCACTGATGGTAAAGTTTCTAATGAGAGTCACCAAAACCATATGCAAAAGTAAAGCTGAGGAAAAAAAAAAGTCTTGTACATTTTGTCTCTGGATTTGAGAATAAGATTTCTGCAGGGTTTTTTTTGTGTGTGTAAAATTCCTATTTATGTATTTTATACTTTTTTTTTTTTTAAATAACATCTTGGAGACATAGTCAATAATTTAAAAAACATTGTAATTAATTAATCTGGAACTTAGGATAAAAACAGAGTAAGTGTTTGTGTACAAGGTGGAGAAAGGGGGGGAAAACAGCTGGATGTGAAGAGCCTCATCTCTACTTCCCCACTGATGTTTCAAGGGTTTGGGTTCACTTATTACAGTCTGTTTGCTCACTTGTATAAAACCCCTGCTGGTGGAATCATCTAATTTCCAAGAGCATCTCCAGGGATGGGAGGCTACATTACAGTATCACACATTATATGTCACTCAGGCAATGTCTCCAGAGTCATAAAACCAATAGAAAGCAAATGGCAATTGAATAGCAGGGTTTTTTTTTCCCTTCCACTGTGGGTGGCTTTTTTTTTTTTTTTTTTCCTTTTTTTAACCCTGCATGCTTTATTTTTCCTGGTGTTGTCTGACCCCTGCCAAGGTAAGTTACATCTAGGTCAGTGATCTTCAGAGTCATCTCCAAGAAGCAGGCTCTGTTTTACAGGTGTGAGCCTGCTGTACCTGGCACTCATCCCATTGGGCACTACCTCTCGCACACGCTGTTTTTCCTTTTTGTTTGCTCCCATCTCTGGGCTCTCATTTGTACTGTCACACTACCCAAGTTCTTGTGCCTGTAGATGCTGCTCTGTGAGCTGTGCTGAACAATATCCAGCTGAAAAACATTCTGGCAAAGAAAAAAGTGCTAAGGTTTCGAGTGGATCAGTCCTGATCTGTTGCATTCCTGTGGGGAAAACTGTGCCAGCACAAGGTCCAGGTTGATCTAGGGCAGATGGGTCCTCTCCAACACAGTATGGAGACACTTGGACATATGTTGGACACTTGTGTGTCTGTGGAACTACCGTCTTGAGTCAGTCTCAAGGATTTGGGCAAAGAACTAAAGAAGTGGTTATATTTGATCTTAAAACATTCTATCGAGCCCTATTGCCAACTCAAGCAGGGATGTAGTTTTTAAAGGTTCATCAACGTTATCTTGGAAACTTGTTAATTACTGCAACCTTGCTAGCTGCTTGCTTGGGATGGCAAAGCATCCTTCGGTGCAAAGGATGAACATGTAACTTGTCTGAATCGCAGCTTGCCAAACCTGTTCCTTTAATGGGATCCTCTCAGTTAAAACGGGTTTTCTAGGAGATGGTCCTGTTGCTCTAAAGATTATTTTTAAATTCAAATCTGAGGCCAAGACCTCAATCCCAGCTCATGCAGCTGACCACAAAGACCATAATCAATTTTATCTTGAATAGTAAAGCCGGTTCAGGCCGCCACTCCCCCTCCGTGTTTCTGCATGCAGGCAGTCTGCATGAGACTGGCTGGTTTGATTTGTACCAGTTCACTAAAAACAGAGCTGTGCTGCCGAAAAATAACCCCAGCCCTTTTAAACACTGAAAATAAAGGACAGCATTAAGACTAAAATCAGCTTGGGCAATTTCTCATTTCCATTTATTCAAAAAAAAAATCATAATTGAGACTTAAAGAAAGAAAAGCCCTCCATGACTTTAAGTGCAAAATCCATTTTAGTAGCAGGAAGCTGTTATATGGTTAGAGCAGTTATTTTTATTGTCTGTCTGGGTATAGTTTTTAACTGCAGGCTCAGAATAAATCAATAGTGTCATAAAGCTGCTCTCACCCTGTGCCCTTTCTAAAGGGACATTGTTCAGTGTCTGCGCTGGATGTGACACAGACCGGTGCTTTGATGCACAAAATTGCGCCTCGACTGCTGTTCCAAGGGAGGCCTCTAAGCACGACACGTATTTAGCTCCATCTCCCTGTTCCTATCATCTCCAAGCCGCTGGCTTCGAGGGAAAAGAAAACACACGCTCACAAAAATGCATAGAAGCGAAATAGGGCGCGTTATCCTGGCTGTGCTGTTGCAAATGGTACTTTCAATGAATCTGTCCATTCATAAATCTTCTCTGGTGACACATTTTCTGAGACTTTCCAAGAAGAGAGCGTGCAGTGATTCGTGGTGTATTTCCCCACAGCTTAACTCTGCCTGTAGTCCACTCC